CGGGGCATTGTCCATCCGGCCCAGGCGCCGTTCCTGGCAGAGGCCGGGGCGGCCGTTCTCGCGCACGCCCGCCCCGCCCCTCCTCCTATTGGCCCCGCGGCCCGCCGGCCGCGCCCACCCTCCGCTGCCACTGGCCCGCTGAGCACCGGTCGGCCCGCCTCCCCGCCTTCCCCGGCTGCCGCCGCGCGTGCCTTCCAAAGGAAAACCCGCGGGAGACTTCTGGAAGCCCCGTGACGTCACAATGGAGGAGCGCTCCGGGGGGCGGGGCTTCGGGCGGGAGACGGGCAGCTGCTGCCTGGCGGAGCTGCGCCCCTGCGCGGCCTCCCGGGGACCCCCGCCTGGGCCCTCGCCCCCGGGACGCAGCGCTGGGCGGGCTCGCAGCAGACCCGGCGGCGGCCCCGCTCCAGAGGGCGCGGACTACGCCTCCCATCAGCCCCAGCCAGCGCCTGGGGTCCCAAAGAAGCAGCGCTGGGCGGGCTCACAGCAGACCCGGCGGCGGCCCCGCTCCAGAGGGCGCGGACTACGCCTCCCATCAGCCCCAGCCAGCGCCTGGGGTCCCAAAGCTCCCAGTGCGCACCAGGCGGCCAGCTGTGCGGCAGCGCTCCCGGCTTGCTGCCTGTGCCCTCCCGTTGGCTGGGAAGCGTGGGAGCTGCGGGGAGCGTCCCGGGCTGCGCGCTGGGCCAGCCGGGCCCTGGGGCATCGGCTTTCGCCAAGGCGGCCCTGCAGGTGGCGCTTGGCCTGGGGCGCAGTTCCCGGGAGCCAGGCCAGCCGTTTGCTGCCCCCACCCCGCTCGCTTCCGTGCAGCGACCCTGAGCGTGGTGCCCCTTCGGTCTGAGAGACCAGTCATGCCGCCAGGGGAGAGCAAGCGTCCCGGCAGTGGGTGCCCCGAGAGGGCCCAGCATCCGCCCCCCCCGTGGCCACCGCCACCGTCCCGCCGGCACTGCCACCTGCCAGCAGCCCCCTCTGGCCTCCCACGGCCCATGAGCCGAACGCGGAGCCCAGCAAAGGCCCCAGCAAACCCGATCCTTCTCCCAGACCCTCTGCTGCTGTGGCCGTGCTAAACCGGATCGTGGCAGCCGGTCCTCTGGGCCCGTGGCTCCTAGCCTGCGGCTTCTTCCCGGCCTGAGCCATCCCGAGGCGACTGGGCTGGCAGCGATCGCTGCTCTTGAGAAGCCCTGGGCTCCTTTTGCACGGATCCAACTGAACGGCCGCTGGCTCCGGGGACTGGCCTTCTGTGGCCACCCACCCGCTTTGCTCACAGGTCACTCTCTCTGTAGTCACACGGACACTCGAAACAGTTCGTGCGAAAGGACGAGGATGATTCTGGCTGTGCGGGTGTGCGGAGGCAACCTTTGAAAATGGTCCTGCAGAGTCACCTGATCCCAAGCAGGGCACGCGATGAAAGGGGACTGGGCAGTGTGATCAGGCCAGGTCATGTCAGGTCAGGCCAGGTTTTGTTTTGTTTTGTTTTGGCCATTTCTGCTGATGGCCGGTCAATTTCCAACCCCAATTCCAAGTGCTGCTTTTGAACTTTAAAGTCTTGGGGGCCGGGATAGCCAAAGAAGCATCTCCTCCCATACATATTTACCCAGCATCATAGAAGAGCAGAGTTGGAAGGGGCCGTGAAGGCCATCAGGTCCACCCCCTGCTGCTGCAGGACACCCAGTCACACCACCCCACTCAGGTGGCTGCCCGGTTTCTTTTTGAATGAATGAACTTAAGATCATCTTCTGGGATAGAAAAAACAGTGTTCAGACAGGAAACGCGATCATCTTGGACTCTTCTCCAGTTGAGGTAAGGTGGGTGGATAACAGGGGGGCCTTTTCAATATTGGCACCTCCTCTGCAGAATGCCCTCCCCCCAAAAAAGGCTCACCTCTTGCAAGCACGGCATGAACCATTTTGCTTTTGCAGACATTTTACATTTCCGGGTGCTCACCCAAATGCTCGAGATCACCTGAGCTTTCCCCTGCAGAGAGATGCGCTGTGACCCTCAGTCAGCTGGCTGCCGTTCCCCAAATCTCCCCAAATGTCGCAAGAGCTGTTCTAAGACGGTGTCTGGAAAGAGGGACCACGGCGCCTCACCGTCAGCATGCCTTGATGTGCACGGCACGCCACAAATCCCCTCCTGAGAGGCACAGAAACGGCGAGTCAGGAGGGGCTTCCCGGGCCATCTAGTCTGACCCCCAGCTCCAGCCGGCTCCGCTCACAACATGCCCACCATGTGCACGTCCAGCCTATCCTTGAACACCCGCACCGATGGGGCCTCAACGACCTCTCGTGGAACCCCATTCCACACCCTCGGGGTCCCGACTGTCAGGAAATGCTTCCTGGCATCCAAATGGAGCCTGGGTTCCCCGAGCTTGGCTCCGTTGGAGCGCATCCTGCCTTCCTCTGCAGGGGAGAACAGGTCTCTGCCCACCTCCGTGTGACACCCCCTCACATACCTGCATGTTGCCAACATATCCCCTCCAAGTCTCCTCCAGGCTGAAGAGACCCGGTTCCCTCAGTCTCACCTCATACGGCATCCCCTGCAAACTGGCCACCAACCTTGTGGCCCTGCGCTGCACTGACTCCAACCTGGCTATATCCTTACTGTCATGAGGGGCCCAAAACTGAGCACAATACTCCAATTGCAGGTGCACCAGAGTCGCATAGAGTGGTAGTAACACCTCTCTCGATCTAGAAGCCACGCTTCTGGCTATGCAGCCAAGGGTGGCGTTCGCCCTCTTGGCCACCGCATCACACGGCTGGCTCACGTTCAGCCTGCAGTCAGCCAGCACCCCGAGGTCCCTTTCACAAGTGCTGCTCTCCAGCCACTTGTCCCCTGACCTGTACTTATGACACCTATTCCTATGCCCCAAGTGCAAGACCTTGCACTTATCCACACTGAACGCCATCCTGTTGTCTCCTGCCCACTTCCATAGTCTGTCCAGATCTTTTTGGATCTGGAGTACCTGCTCCTCAGTTGTGCCCATTGCTCCAGTTTTAGTGTCATCTGCGAATTAGATCAGCAGACTGTTCACCCCTTCTTCCATGTCGTTAATGAAAAGATTAAACAGAATCAGCCCCAGGACAGAGCCCCGGGGGACCCTGCTTGTCACTGGCCGCCATCCCGATGATTCCCCGCTAATGGTTACCTTCTGCTTTCGGTCAGTCAACCATGCCCTAATCCACCGGACGGTGCTTTGGTGTATCCCAAAACTCCTCAGTTTCTCCACCAGGATATCATGGGGCACTTTGTCAAAGGCCCTGCTGAAATCCAGGTGAACCACATCCACCGCATCCCCTCCGTCCAGCCACCCCGAAACCTTCTCAAAGAATCCCACAAGGCCCACACAGACGTCACACGGGGGTCTCTCTGTTCCCTGCCAGGGCCCAGGGCCTCATCCACGGGGCCAGGCCTGCCCGCCTGCCCATTCCTGGCACTTGGAGCCGGACCTCTCTGGGGCGGCAGCAGGGCCCCCTCCGTGAGGCCTGCCCAAGGCCAAGGGGGCCTGCACAGCGGGGGCCATCCGGCGTTGCCCCACAAGAGCACGGGACCCGAGGGTGGAAGGGGGCCAGCTGGTGGCTGGGAAGCCGAGGGGCTGGCAG